TAATTGACATTTAATATTTTTGTTCCACACGTTCATTCCTACTGTACCACGCAAACGGAGCAACCTGTTATGGTCGGCCATGTCCAACTTCTCATATAGAGCTATCAGTTTGATATGTTTCGTAAAACGCGGATTGATATTTACGCCCATAGAAACATCTAATCGTCATAAGAAAACTTGTTTGATATTCTCTATTAAATATTATTTTTCCCTAAATCGCCCTTTTTTTCATTTTCTGTCTGAATTTTTAAAAATTAATTATTAAAGTAAAAAATTACACCAAAAGAGGGGAAGTTTTCGACTTTGATAATTAATTTTGAAAAATTCAGACAGAAAATGAAAAAAAGGGCGATTTAAGGAAAAATAATATTTAATAGAGAATATAATTCAAACTTACTTATGACGATTAGATGTTTCTAGGAGCGTAAATATGAATCCGCGTTTTACAAAACAAAGCAACAGCTCGATGTAGGCCTTTGCCGACCATAACAGGTTGCAACATTTTCGTGTTGAAAGTATTTACGCTATGGTAATATAGGGACGTAGATGATCAACAAAAATAATAAGTCATTACTTTTATTATTTAATATTATATAAATAATTATATTTATTTGTTTATTTATCTATTATTATTTATTATTATTCTTACTTTTTAGAAATATTATAATGGAAAAGTATAAAACAAAGTAATGTAAATTTTTTATGAAAATATTATTAAACATAATTTTTGTCATAAAATTGGATCTTTTTTATGAAAAAAGTCCTTTTTCTGAAACACGGAGGTACTCAGAATTTATTTCCAATTATGAAAACCATTTTTGTCTTGAGAAAACGACGTTGATGTTTGCAATTTTTTTCTAACAATTTTTGAAGTAGATTATTAAATTTTCGTCTTTTTTCAATACATTGCAGCTTTTTTTTTTATTAAAAAAGGGCATTTTTTGACATTTATTTTTCTAAATAATTTCATATCATAATTTTTATTGATGAAAAATAGAAATACAGAAAAATTAAGATTAAATTTTGATCAGAAACTAAATAAGTAAACAAATAATTTTCCATATAGAAAAATTGAATAACAATGTTATTTTTAGAATTTTCAGTTTAAAAACAAAGATTTTTTTCAAAACAATACTTCTATAGGTAATTATGAAAATCATCGATTTCATTTGGAATTCTTTTCATGGATTTAAAAACATATTTTCTACCAAATTACGCGTGTGTTTCGAAATCCACCAATTTTTAAGAAAAATGATAATTGAAAAAACCGGACAAGTGCGAGTAGAACTCGTACTAAAACCTAGGGTTCCGTACCCTCCATAAAATTGCGAGAACCAGCAAGGGTTAAAGTATTTTCGAGCTTGCAAAAAGAGATTTCAGTTTTTCGATGAAAACACCATGAATATCAATTCTAAACACTTCCGCTATATTTTTCCTGTAATCTACGCGTAAAAATACATAAGTATACCAATTTTCATCTCTTCAGGTAAAAAACTGTGGGCGCTATAGTAAATAACACGCATTTTTGACGAAATTTTTAAAAACTTTGACTTTTTCACTGAAAAAAATATGAAGATAAAATTCAATCATGTTCGGTGTATTTTTCCTGAAATCTACATATGAAAATTCATAAAATAAGCAAAAATATAGTCCAATAGGCCAAGAATTGTGAAAACCAAAGAGGGAGTACACACTTTTTTTTCTAAAACGAAAAAAAATTTTAGTTTTTCGAAAAAAAAATATGAAGATGAACTCCAATAATTTTCTCTGTATGTTTGTTGAAATCTACACGAAAAAATAAATAAAAATGTATAACGCCAGTCCACTAGACTAAGAATTGAGAGAATTAGCATAGGTATAATTATTATCAAAAATTGAAAAAAAAAATTTTTCATAACGCGGTGCAAAAAAGGGCACTTTTTTGCACCTTGATATGAAAAATATCGTTCGTAACTAGTGCTAGCAGTTGCCAATTTTTGAAAAAGCACTTTTTTTGGAACAAACTGTAGACGAAGCTTCGCTTCGCCTACAGTTTGTTCCAAAAAAAGTGCTCATTCAAAAATTGACAACTGCTTGCACTCGTTACGAAATATACTATAGGTTTTCGCTCAAAACGCAATGAAGATCAATTCTAATCATTTCCACTATATTTTACCTGTAATCTACACGTGAAAATACAAAAGTGTACCAATTTTCAGCTCTTTAGTTAAAAACCGTGAGTGCTAGGGTGAAATAAACGCTTTTTTGACGAAATTTTTAAAAACTTTAAGTTTTTCGATGAAAAAAATATGAAGATCAAATCCAATCAGGTTCGCTATATTTTTCCTGAAATCTACTGACGAAAATACATAAAATAAGCAAAACTGCAGTCCAATATGCCAAGAATTGTGAAAACCAAGGGGGATGGGGTACACACTTTTTTTTTAAAAACGAAATTTTTTTTTAGTTTTTCGCAAAAAAAAATATGAAGATGAATTCCAATAATTTTTTCTGTATGTTTTTTGAAATCTACACGAAAAAATAAATAAAAATGTATAGCGACAGTCCACTAGATTAAGAATTGAGAGAACCAGCAACGGTTAAAGAATTTTCGAGCTTTCAAAAAGAGATTTTAGTTTTTCGATGAAAACATCATGAAGATCAATTCTAATCACTTCCGCTATATTTTTCCTGTAATCTATGCGTAAAAACGAATAAGTATGCCAATTTTCAGCTCTTCAGATAAAAAACTGTGGGCGCCAGGGGGGGGGGGGGTACATGCATTTTTTTCGAAATTTTCAAAATTTTTGACTTTTTCGATAAAAACAGAATGAAGATCAATACTAAATGTGTTCGCTATATTATTCCTTTAATCCATTTTTGAAAATACATATGCATACCAATTTTCAACTTTCTAGGTAAAAAACTGTGAGCGCTAGGGGGGGTACATGCCTTTTTTTGCGAAAAATGGCCAAAATTTGATGTTTTTCGACGAAAACTCTATGAAGATCAATCCCAATCACGTTCGCTATATTTTTCCTGTAATCTACGCGTAAAAATACATACGTGTACCAATTTTTAGCTCTCTAGGTGTAAAACTGTGAGTTCTAGGGGGGGAGGGGGGTACATGGTCATTTTTGTAACCGTTCCAATAGGGTTCCTACCGGGTACGGAACCCTAAAAAGGGTCAAAATATTTTCTGTCCGCTTTTATTTTATGACCGTTGAATTCCTTACAAAAAATTACTTTAAAACTAATTTTGTGGAATATTTAAATTAGATTTTTCATATACTTAAAAATATCAATAATAAAAATAACAATAAAAATTTTTTAAAATTATACATTTCATAATTTTTTATTATTTACTTTTTTTTGGTTTAGAAATTTTATTTGTTTAATAATTTTTTCATAAAAAATTTTTTTTTATTGTTTTAATACTTTTCCATAATAATATTTTAAAAAAGTAAGTAAAATAATAAATAATAATAGATATAATAACAATAATAAATAAATAAACAAATAATAAATGTAATAGTAAACAATGAGAGTATAATTGACATTTAATATTTTTGTTCCTCACGTTCATTCCTACTGTACTACGCAAACGGTGCAACCTGATATAGTCGGCCATGGCTAACCTCCCATATTGAGCTGTCAGTTTGCTATGTTTTGGAAAACGCGGATTGATATTCACGCCCATAGAAACATCTAATCGTCATAAGAAAACTTGTTGAATATTCTCTATTAAATATTATTTTTCCCTAAATCGCCCTTTTTTTCATTTTCAATCTGGATTTTTTTTAATTAATTATCAAAGTCAAAAAATTTCACCAAGAGGGACGAAAAGAGGGGAAAAGAGTGGAAGTTGTCCTCAACTTCCAAAAAAATAAAAAAAAATAAAAAAAAAAAAAAAAAAAATAAAAAAAATAAAAAAAATAAAAAAAATAAAAAATAAGATTTTCTCCTATCGCTCGCTACGCCTATGCGTACTTTTAAATATTTCCCACCGTGCAGCGTCCTTAAAAAAATGATTTAAGATATGCTGCATTTTCTTATGCCAATAAATTAAATGATGGGTTTTTTTATATAACGAAAAATTGGATATAATTTCAATAGAAATCATTTTCCAGAAACAAACAATTTTAAAAACAGTATTATGATAAACATTTCTGAATAAAATTTTGACCCAGCATACAAAAGTATGTATTTATAATGTAAAATAAATTAAGAACTTTTTTAAACAAAATATGGAGAAAATATCACTTTCTCACAAGTTCAGAAAATTTCTCGAGTTTAGTATATAAGGAAGTTGAGAACTGTATCTCCCAATGTACAGCGTGCGTGCGTTATTGCGTTTATTTGTATTTAAGTTAAGTTTATATGTATGCGTTTATAGGTTTTAGCATAGATCTCCGAAATTGTATATAGTTTGTGTTTGTATAGTATGATGTATAGTATGATGCTTGCGTTAGCTCATTGGTGTGTGTGCGAAATACTTTCGAAACGATAATTCTATCCTCCTCCTTCCTACGTCTTTTTATTTCCTGTCCTTTTCGACTCACTCATAATTTTTAGTATTGACTATATTAAAGATTGAAATATGTATTTTATTCTAAAATTTAAAAGAACTATTTCAATTTTTCTTATTCTTTCGATACTTTCACGGACTGCGATTTTAATATAGTCATTTTTAAAAATTATAATTCTTTTATTAAATTGTATTACAATTTTATTAATTTTTGTAAAATATATCAAGGGCTGCCTACTAATATGCACAATATTAATTTTTAATATAAAACACGATTTCCCTAAATTGAAAAAGAATATATTAAATTCTATTGACAATTTTAACAAATATTAATACAAAATCTCTCTCCGTGTGCAAAAAGCTTGAAGCTCGAATCTTGATCGAGCTAACTCGAGCTTTTTATTTTTCGAGCCGAGCCGTGTAAAAAGCTCGAATAGTTTCGAGTACTCGAATTCACTCTAGTGCTCAAATTTAATCGAGTCCTCGAATTTACCCGAGTACTCGAATTTTTCGAGTACTTGAAGTCACTCAAGTACTCGAAAATGTCGAGTACTTGATACATCGAGCCGGCTTGGACTTGGCTCGTATCGACATTTCGATCTTTTTGCACATCTCTACCAAAAATATACATTTTAATCCACTTAATCTCGCAATCATCAGCAAACAAAAACATGTGATGAGAATGTAATCCTTAAAGTCGTAGTAACTTTAAGAAAAAAATGTTTTATTAAACATATAACAGGAAATAATAACAAGAACACAAATAAAGCAAAACAATTTCAGACCACCGCGAGCGAAGCGCAACATCAAACGGAGCGCGACGTGCGAAATAATCGCCGGAGCGCGAAGCTCGACGATCAATATTCGCGTGCCCCCGCGCGAAGCGCGGACAGATTTTTTTAAATTCAAACATTTTTGAAGATACGCCATTTTGAATTTTAATATTAATTTTATAAAATTTTGAATATCTCGGAATATTTTTTGTGGATTTTTATGAAATTTACACATTTTTCAGGTAAAAATTTAATTTAAAATAAAAATAAAGTTAATAAAAAAAAATTAATTTTTTTAATAAAAAATTTTAGGTATTGTAAACTGGGGCTATTAGGAACAAAATTCTATTTTCGGGTGCAGTTGATGCTATCGGCGCCGTTTATCGATAAATTGTGTTACTTGCTTTTGAAAAATTGTTGCTGCGGTAACTGGCAACACTTTTCAATGCAATAATTGTGATTATTAATTATTTTGTGAAGAATAGTAGCTTGTAAGTGACTTAATGTGTTTTAGTGAAGTTTCAAACGTGGAAAACATTTGATTGCTGAGGTAAGTTGTTTCATTTTTAACTTCTCAAAGTGATTGTTTTTTATTAATGGGCTTTCTTATGGGAAACTTTATTGAGTTCACTAAGTAATAAATATATTTATTTTGTATTTACAGTAAGATTTTAGAAACAAAAACCAAAATTCACAAACGGCGGGTATATAAGGAACACAATTATTTCTTCCGAATTGTTAAAGTGTGTTGTCAAAACGTAAGTTTTTGTAATTTCTTTTGTTTTTTATCACTCTCTAAATTTGAATTAGTAGAATTTTTACTATTTAAATTAGTAGTATAATATTTTACTAATGAAATAGTAGTTTTATGAACTATGACTAATGAATTAGTAGAATGTCGACAAAAAAATATAACTAATTCAAATTAGTAAGAATTTTTACTTTTTTGATTAGTAGTTTTTACTATTTGAATTAGTAAAAGTCAGGTGATGCGAAGGAGCGCTCTTAGCGTTCACTTTCGGTAACACTAAACGGCCCTTAGCTTCCTGTTGTGTAGTGTCAAAGGTTTTTCCTGAGCAAGCTGCAATCTTTTTCCAAGATTTTAAAATTCAAAAAATATTTATACAAACAACAAGTGCGTGAAGTGATATTGAAATCATCGTTCATCACTTTTTTAGAACTGGGAAAGTGTGTATACACATTCTCTTTATTTTCTTTTTTTGTTTGTATTATATATATATATATATATATATATATATATATATATATATATATATCTTTACTATCGGTTCAAAAAGTATAGTCAGTTGACTTTGAAGGCTTATAACTTGAATAAAAAAAATCGCACAATATTGAAACTGTATGGAATCAGTAAGTAATTTATTTCTACATTAATGTAAAAAATTAAAAACAAATAAAAATTTTTTTCTTAAAGTTATTAATTTTTGAAGGGAAAAAGAACATGTTTTTTGACACTATTTTCAATAAGGCCTACTTTGGTAACATGTAACTCGTTTAATGAGAGTCCTATGATATTCCTGATTTTTTCTATGTTCCTTAAATCTTTCTGAATAATGTTATTTAAACAAATAACCGTTATTATAATAACTTTTTGAGATTATTAAACGAAACCGTAGTTGTGTTATCTTTGTTGGAAATTAAGGTACGAAGATGAGACAAAGTACACGTTACGGAGAATACGACACTTATTACGATTCATCAACAAAAGTTTGGAAAAAAAATTATTTTAAGTAATTATTTGCAAAAGTATTTTCAGTTTTTTGCTTTATTGCACCATTAGCAGTCAGGTGCATACTACTGTAAGTCTTTTTGTCCGAGACTCCAAGCTTAGCACTACTACCCTTTTTTTGGTCATTTTTTTCTGTGGTTAAAACTGATTTATAACTTTAAAGATCTGGTTTCTAAGGATGTACAGAGGTGTAAACACCCAAAATATTTTTCCTGTCTTAAGGGGGGCGCACAGTGGGAACAAATGCTTTTTTTGGGACAAAATCGTAGAACTTCCGTTAGGATCAAGATTTTTAAAAAATTCAAATTGGAGGTGACAGCTGGATTCTTCTAGAATAGAGGAAAAATACTGAGAATTTCGAAAAAAAATGTTTAACCTATAAAAAATGATTATAACTGCAACGGTTTTGGATAAAATTCACATTTTTACGTTCCCAGAAAGAGGATAATGCTTCTTTTTTGTTCATTCTGAGATATTTTATAATTTTTGATGTGCTTTTAACAAATTTGAGGTTACAATTACAAATTTCAAAATGGCGGATTGAAAATGGCTTACTAATATGAAATATCTATAAATTGAGTGAGAATCTATAATTTAAAGGTTTCTTGGCTTACTGTAAATGAATTGGATTGTTTATTTACACATTTTAAAATGGACGATCCAATATGGCCGACTGCAGAAACAAATGGATTTTATTTTTAGATGAAATCATAGAAATTCTGACAGGATAAAGATTTTCATATAATTCAAATTGAGGGTAAAATATTATTTCTTGGAAAACAGAAGAAAAATATAGAGAGTGGTGATAAAATATATTTAACCTATAAAAATTGTCCACAAAAATGACAGTTTCCAATTAAACATAATTTTTTCCTTCCCAGAACCAGAAAAATGCATGTTTTTTATTACTTCTAAGATATTTTATAAATTTTGATGCGTTCTTAACAAAGATAAAGTTCCAATTCCAAAAATTAAAATGTCGGAATCAAAATGGTTGAGTAAAATGTAAAATATCTATACATTAACTTCGAATCCATAATCTAAAGGTTTGTTTGCTTACTTCCAATGATTTTGATTATTCAGTTATTGGGAATCGACATGGGGGCGTGGTCTATCCAAAATGGCGACGAAGAGACCCCAAAATACCGCGAAAAGCAGGTGAATTAAAAAAAAACGTGAATATGTTACTGGAATTACAAAATATTTGCACTTGGATCAACAATATCACTTCTAACAGAAATATAATTCACTTTCCATTATTGGTTGACTAATTAAATTTCGACAATTCACTGCGTTTTGCTAGTGAAATGGGGTATAACAATAGTTTGTTTTTTCACCACCAGATAACTTCTGGTTTATGTCGATTCCCAATAGAATTCAAAATGGCAGATTTAATATGGGTAAGCTAAATTGGCCAACTCGAAATGATCGTAATGAAAATTGCTACTTACACCATTTTCACTCGTAGATAAAGAATGTATTGTCCAATTTCTATTTACGGCAACGAATCTGAAGCTGTGTTAGAATTTCCTATACTTCTTTGACTGATATCAGACATATTACTATTTTTTGTTTCTCTTTAATTGACATTAGAAGTTAGATTTTGTGGTTAAAAATTTGATTAATTTTAAATACAGATAGAAATAGTTTTAGTATCATCTTATTATTATAGCTTTTATGATTTTAAATATTTGTTTACTTGTGAGTCTTTAACAATGCCAGGTAAATGATTAGAGGTAAGATCTTTCAATTTTTTTCTTGTTTAGAGGAATGTCAAATTAAGCCTATAACTGAAATTCTTTCTTTCTTAAGATGGATAAGATAAATATTAAGAAGGCATCTGGAAAAAGAGGTCGCCCACCAAAGAAATCAAAAATTAGCATAAATACAGGGAGAAAGAAAATTAGTATAAATAGTTCTTGCAAGAAAACAAAATACAGACGAGCTCAGGAGCTAGCAGCTTCAGTTGACAACAATGTTACTGTTTTGGAAATGGCATTAAAAATAGGTAAAAGTAAAGTTTCTTCAAATTCGGAATGTTCAAGTTCAAATACTGAAAAGGAAAATCTTAAAATAAATGATACTCAATTACGTCATTCAAATGATTCCGCATTAGCATTTTATTTAGAAAACAATTACAGCAAGAGCACTTACTCCTCTTTAGTGAAAGATTCTAGACAGAAAGGCAGTAGAGTATATCCTTCGTATAGAAAAGTATTTGAAGAAATGGTTGAGTGTCAGCCACAAAATTACCAGTCTTCCGAATTCGAATGTTTTGTCCCAATGCAGAATCTGTTAAATAAAAGTGCAGAGCGATTATGTGAAGCTGTGGTTCAAGATTCTAAAAGTTCTGTGATAAATTTAGAGCTAATGGTTACACTGGGCATGGATAGTTCAAGTGGGCATACGAACCCTCAACAGAAATATCAAGAAATGGAGTGTGAAAATGTGAATCCTCATCAATCACTTTTCATTAGTCACTTGATTATAGTACAATTAAAAGACGTAGTAACAAGTACGAGTATTTGGATTAATCCTACTCCCCAGAGTGTTAGATTTTGCAGACCTTTAAGGATAGCTATTGAGAAAGAGGATAATGAAACAACACAGAACGAGTTTCATCGTCTCAGTAAAGAAATTGAAGGACTTTCGCCACATTGCTTTAAAATTCATAATGGTAGTAGAGTAAAAGTAAAATTCATCGTATTCCAATCCTTGTTTGATGGCAAATGCCTTAACACAATAGTAAAAAATAAAGCTTCCAGTCGTTGTCCTATGTGTCTGAAAACTACACACGAATTTGGAAAAAATTGTGATTTTACTGCAAACGTTTCGTCTCTAAGACATGGACTGGGTTTGTTGCATTGTGAAATCAAGTCAATGGAATACTTATTGCATCTATCCTATCGCTCAGAACTAAAAGTTTGGGATATTCGAAAAGAATTAAAAGGTATGATTAAAAGAGTTGAAAGTTTGTCAGACAACTTACAGTAAAGTATGAAAAAGTAATTATCTTCTAAATAAAACATTTTGTGTGATAAAATTTTTAACTACACTGTAAAAAATTTGGGAGTTAACGGTTGTTGGAATTGGGAGTTAAAATTTGGGACTTAAAAATCAACTCTCACAGGAGAGTGAGTCTCATACTCGCTATGTTGCAGAAGAGTGGGGACTGAAGAATTAAGCTTTAACTCCTTAAAGGATGCAAATTTTATAGAACTCGGTTGGGAGTTTCATTTTTTACACCCTTCTTTTAACAGTGTATAAAATCGAAGAAATTTCACTTTTGTTATAAAATGTTTTTCCTGATGCACACCATACAATTCCGAAGGGGATCATGATTTCTAGAATATTTCATATTTGTAGAATAATAGCGTTTCCTGGATTAATTTTAAGAAATTCTTAAAATTATAGAAACTGTATTATCCACAAAACTGTTTTGTTTGTAACGTATGACCCCCTCAGGTTTGGTGTGATATTAAACAAGTAATTGAAAAGAATTACATACATAAGAAAAAACAATTTTTAAGTGTAATTTTAAATTCAGATCAACATGACGAAAGAAAACGTGAAGTACAGAAGAGGGTTTATGAAGAAATTGGTGTAAGAGTTGACCAAATTTTGCAAGGCCATGGAACAACAAATACGGGAAAAGTGGCTCGCAGATGCTTTAATAACCCTAAAGGATTTGCTGATGCTTTAGGTCTAGATCCTCAGTTTGTTACTAATATAGCTTCCATTTTGCTACTATTTAAAAGCAAAAAGCATTTAAATTTGCAAGAACTCCGAAAATTTGCCAAGGAAACTTACAAAATGAATTACGCTCTCTATCCATGGTCCAGAATGAGTCCAACTGTCCATAAACTCCTTCAACATGGATGCGATATTGCGGAACAATTTCCTTTACCCATGATTTATTTTAGCGAAGACGCGTTAGAATCCTGGCATAAATACTATAGAAAAAATATGAGGACACATTCACGCCAGCATAACAGATGTTGCATGTTGCAGGATCTTGGATGTTTTTAATCGAGCGATCTATTTTAGTGATCCAAAAATCTCAATGATTCTTATTTACAATCGGCAAAAACAAAAGGAAACTGAAGTTCCGACTTCTTTAAATGTTTTTCTTGAAGAAAGGTAAAAATATTTATAAAATACCTATAAATAAAATTTACAAAGTTTTAATTAAGATCAATAATAATAATAATAATAATAATAATAATAATAATAATAATAATAATAATAATAATAATAATAATAATAATAATAATAATAATAATAATAATAATAATAATAATAATAATAATAATAATAATAATAATAATAATAATAATAATAATTCTAATAAAAAACATTGTAGGCAAATCTCTGAAAATGAAACTTCTTCAAGCAGTGATGAAAGTGATCTGGAATAAAGTCTGTCTGTATAGAGAACAAAGTATGAAAATTCGTTTTTGTTATCTTCGCATCAAAAAGAATAGAATAGCAATTCTTATTTTTATTTGTTAATTTTACCAACCTTATAAGTTCATATTATTATTACAATAATTATTAAAATTTTCACCCACCATTTTTAATTCACTATTTGAATTCTTTAAACTAAACTTTAATTTTGCTTTTAACTGTTTAAAAACATCACTTCGACCGCATTATGATAATGTTTAAAACATCATGGGTTTATAACAAATGTACGTTACAATATTTTTAAGTTACGAAAAAAATTTTGTTATTACGAAGCAAGTTGAAATTTTAATTAAAAAAAGAACACCTTAATTTCGTTATTTAGTGTTATAGTTATTTAGTTATAGTATTGCAAAATTTACTTATAAAATTTATAAGTGCCATAATAACCATTAAGATACAAAGTGTATTTTAAATAACTCCCCTTTAACATTTAGTTCATTATTTGAAAAGTAGAATTCCGACTTTACATTCTTTATATATGATTGAAAATAGTCTAATCGCAATTTCCAATATATCATTCTTTCAAATTTGACAATTCGAAACAGTCAGATTAAATCCACTATTTCACATTTCAAGTTTTTCTATTTTTTCTTTCATTATAAGTAAGCTAAAAACATTCAGAACATCAATTTCGACTGGATGTAAAGAGTGCTTTTTTCCACTTAAATTATTCACTTCTAAATTTACAATTTGTACTTCAACATCTTTTTTTAAAATTTATTAAGCTGTTCAGTAAATGTTTTCATTATAATTAGATTGATTTGGCCTACTTGGCTTAGACATATTGAATCCGCCATTTTGAAATATACAATTGAATAATCAAAATCATTGGAAGTAAGCAAACAAACCTTTAGATTATGGATTCGAAGTTAATGTATAGATATTTTACATTTTACTCAACCATTTTGATTCCGACATTTTAATTTTTGGAATTGGAACTTTATCTTTGTTAAGAACGCATCAAAATTTATAAAATATCTTAGAAGTAATAAAAAACATGCATTTTTCTGGTTCTGGGAAGGAAAAAATTATGTTTAATTGGAAACTGTCATTTTTGTGGACAATTTTTATAGGTTAAATATATTTTATCACCACTCTCTATATTTTTCTTCTGTTTTCCAAGAAATAATATTTTACCCTCAATTTGAATTATATGAAAATCTTTATCCTGTCAGAATTTCTATGATTTCATCTAAAAATAAAATCCATTTGTTTCTGCAGTCGGCCATATTGGATCGTCCATTTTAAAATGTGTAAATAAACAATCCAATTCATTTACAGTAAGCCAAGAAACCTTTAAATTATAGATTCTCACTCAATTTATAGATATTTCATATTAGTAAGCCATTTTCAATCCGCCATTTTGAAATTTGTAATTGTAACCTCAAATTTGTTAAAAGCACATCAAAAATTATAAAATATCTCAGAATGAACAAAAAAGAAGCATTATCCTCTTTCTGGGAACGTAAAAATGTGAATTTTATCCAAAACCGTTGCAGTTATAATCATTTTTTATAGGTTAAACATTTTTTTTCGAAATTCTCAGTATTTTTCCTCTATTCTAGAAGAATACAGCTGTCACTTCCAATTTGAATTTTTTAAAAATCTTGATCCTAACGGAAGTTCTACGATTTTGTCCCAAAAAAAAGTACAACTATAAGAGAATATGCTCTTAAAATATTACGTCAAAATACAAAGTATTTTTCGAGTTACAGCTTGTAGAACGCAATAAAGCGTGTGGCCTGGCGCTTGGCCTGGCGCGCGATTCCACTCGCGGTCTCTAATACTTTTCATAATTTGTCGCGCTTATCTACTATTACACCTACCATTAAAATTACCATTTATCAGTAAAATGTCTTCTTATCCAAGAGCTACACATAAAAAAATAGTCGTTCATCGAGGCCGCGAAACAGCATTTATATGTTTTTCAATCTTTAAACGCGTTTTTCTCAAAACACTGTTTTTGTAGTTTGCGTACACGATAGACAA